TTGCTACAAGAGAAAGGATGTTTGCCTTCCTTTGCTTCAGAATAGTAGCTTTATCCCCACTAAGAATTTGAAATAATTTTTTTTTTGTTTTTTCCCCCCGAGATGGAGGCTTGCTCTGTTGCCAGGCAGGAGTGCAGTGACACAATCTTGGTTCACTGCAACCTCCACCTCCCAGGTTCAAGCTATTCCCCTACCTCAGCCTCCCAAGTAGCCAGGACTATAGGCACGCACCACCGCGCTCAGCTAATTTTTTGTATTTTAGTAGAGACAGAGTTTCACCATATTGGCCAGAATGGTCTCGATCTCCTGACCTCGTGATCCGCCCACCTCGGCCTCCCAAAGTGCTAGGATTACAGGTGTGAGCCACTATGCCCACAGAATTCAGAATAATTTTCAAGCCATAGATAGGGAAGATACTTAAGATGTCTTCAGATTGTGTTTTCCTCCCTCCTTGTTAGTGTCACTCTTACTGGCTGCCATCCATTAATTCCTGCCAAATGACTGCTGGGAGAGATTTGTTTCCCCTGCCGTAGGGCATAGCTGGGGGTTTTCACTTTTTCAACAGTCTTCTATGTTTTCTCAAGTATTTTTGTTACCTTTACCTTTCATGTATGCTATGCTGGATTGCTACTTTGTCGTTTCAAGATTTACCTATTGCGTAGTAAACCAGTCATTTCCACAAAGGTGATGTAATCACAACTGAAAATTTTAAAGCATTCCCCCACGGAGTTACCACTACTTGAGATTTCTGCTTCTGCTTTGGGGGACTTACACACTCCATGTGGACCTCTGCTTTTCAAGTAATGCAGAGAAATTGACTTTGCTGAATGACTTTTCTACTCATGCACCTCTTGAGTGACATTTAATTAGATGTATATGTATGAGTGGTCTTTAAGAATGAGGGATTTACATGCTGATCTCCTCTGCTGCTTTGCTTAATCTAACTAGCTACTGTGCTGGTGAGGCCTAATCATAACTCCTGTGTACACAGTATTGCCTAGAATACCTTTCTTGGAGAGTTACACTAGCAGACTGCTATAGTTGTCACCTTTCTTTGGTTTCATCTATATCCTAGGCACTCTGTTGCTTTCTAAAACCGCAAATGGCCCTTTCTACTATGTTATCCTCTAGATACTGGTCCAAGCTCTTAAATTCCAGAAAACAGTAGCCCTAGAGTTTAACGTCCTACTGAAAACTTGTTTCCAAAGTAATAAACCAGCAACCCCTAGGTTCACATCTATACTTAGTTTTGATGCTTTCAACAGATACGGAAGGCATTGGCGGGCAGTAGTATGGTATAGTATGTTTTCCTTCATCATCGTGGAAGCATTTATGAAGCAATCTAGAGTGTTAACATTAGTTTTCTATTTATCTTTAAAAGATAAATAGCATATTGCTTTGAGAATAGAGATGGAATGTGATTTTTAGGCCTTTGAAAAATGTCTTGTTATTTTCATTTAAACAAAAATCTTAAATCTTTTAACAAATTATTTATTGAACTAGAATGAATATAAAGAACCACATAGCTCTGTGAATCAGACAATAGCCTTAAAACCAGAGTTCTTATGTGTAGTCAGTAAAATTGGAAATAATTGTTGATCAGCTGTCCAGGGTTTTCTTAACTTTAAAAGCCCATGAGCATACATGAGCACACATTTCCAGCCATTTTCTATTTTATCTGCCTTAAAAACAAATGCAGGCCGGGCGCAGGGGCTCACACCTGTTATCTTAGCACTTCGGGAGGCCGAGGCGGGCGGATCACAAGGTCAGGAGATCAAGACCATCCTGGCTAACACGGTGAAACCCTGTCTCTACTAAAAAATACAAAAAAATTAGCAACCTGGTGGCACGCGCCTGTAGTCCCAGCTACTGGGGAGGCTGAGGCAGGAGAATGGCATGAATCCGGGAGGCTGAGCTTACAGTGAGCTGAGATCGCACCACTGCACTTCAGCCTGGGTGACAGAGCAAGACTCTGTCTCAAAAAAAAAAAAAAACAACAAATGCAAAAACAGAGCATTCATGAGATGTAATTGCATTTAGTATGTATTATAGAACTCAACACTAAATGGCTTATCAATGCCTGAATTTTTTTAAGTACTTAAGTTTCTAGAAACCTGACAGTACAGCTGGGCGCAGTGACTCACGCCTGCTAATCCCAGCACTTTGGGAGGCCGAGGCGGGTGGATCACGAGGTCAGGAGATCAAGACCATCCTGGCTAACACGGTGAAACCCCGTCTCTACTAAAAATACAAAAAATTAGCCGGGCACGGTGGCAGCACCTGTAGTCCCAGCTACTTGGGAGGCTGAGGCAAGAGAATGGCGTGAACCCAGGAGGCAGAGCTTGCAGTGAGCCGAGACCACGCTGCTGCACTCCAGCCTGGGCACAGAGCCAGACTCCGTCTCAAGAAAAAGAAAGAAACCTGACAGTACTATATAATAGTTTAAGAGCTTAAATGTTATATTTAAATATTACAAAAAAATAAAAAGTTCTAGAGAACTGAAAAAGTCTATCACTAATAGGTTTATAGATATTACTTCTAATATTATAAGAATAGGTTTATTCTTAGATCTCCAGCAGTCAGAATAAATGAGACTAAGTGCTCTGAGGATATAGACAACGTCAATAAGTTTATAAAATATGGCCGGCATGGTGGCTCACGCCTATAATTCCAGCACTTTGGGAGGCCGAGGCAGTTGGTGGATCACTTGAGGTCGGGAGTTCGAGATCAGTCTGACTAACATGGAGAACCCCGTCCCTACTAAAAATACAAAATTAGCCAGGCATGGTGCCACATGCCTATAATCCCAGCTACTTGGGAGGCTGAGGCAGGAGAATTGCTTGAACCTGGGAGGTGGAGGTTGTGGCAAGCCGAGATTGTGCCGCTGCACTTCAGCCTGGGCATCAAGAGCAAAACTCCATCTCAACCAAAAAATAAAAAATAAAAATAAGCTTATGATTATGTTGTACACCAGTCTTATTTTGGAAAATGAAACATTTGAACCTCTTTTGGCAGAAATAATTTATTTTGGGTAGCTTTGATTCTCTCTAATATAACTAGCAGCATAAAATCAAACCCTCATTTATAAGATTATAATGCAAGTTCATACAGCTGCCTTCTCATAGAATATGTTTATTCTCTGAGGAATAGCAGAGAAAATATGAACAGGATCCTCTTTAGTACTCTTGTCCATATGACTTCGTATTCCATTAATAAAAAGGAGTAAATTGGCCGGGCGTGGTGGCTCACACCTGTAATCCCAGCACTTTGGGAGGCCTAGGCGGGTGGATTATGAGGTCAGGAGATCAAGACCATCCTCACCAACATGGTGAAACCCCGTCTCTACTAAAATACAAAAAGTAGGTGGGCGTGGCGGCTCATGCCTGTAATCCCAGCACTTTGGGAGGCCGTGGCGGGTGAATCATGAGGTCAGGAGATTGAGACCATCCTGGCTAACACGGTGAAACCCCGTCTCTACTAAACATACCAAAAAAATTAGCCGGGCATGGTGGCGCGCGCCTGTAGTCCCAGCTACTTGGCAGGCTGAGGCAGGAGAATGGCGTAAACCTGGGAGGCAGAGCTGGCAGTGAGCCAGGATCACGCACTGCACTCCAGCCTGGGCTACAGAGGGAGACTCTTGTCTCAAAAAAAAAAAAAAAAAAAGAGTAAATCGTAGCTGGTGTACAAAGCTCTGATTTTTATGAGAAATGCCTTTTTGGTGACTTACGGATGAGCCTTAAGCAACTCTTGTGAATGAGGTATTGATGGGGAGTGAATATAGACCCTCAAACCATTACTTTCTTGCCCTTCCTTTTTTATAGAATACAACTTTTATAGCCGTGAACATTTGGAAGCTTTATCGTCCTTTCTGGTTTTCATGCAGAGCAGCAATATCACATCCTAACCCCTGTAGCTGTTTATATCAGCAGCAATTAAAATTTGATATACTAATCCCTCATTGCTGACTCTCCCACTACTCATTTTTCATTTTTGTAGAGCCTTAGGACTGTTACAGCTGAGCATTATGATGTTAACAACTCAGCCATCTGGCACAGGGGAAGAGGCACCTAAACAGATTCTTCTGAACAAAAGTCACATATGAGCAAGATCAGAATAGTAGGAGATCTAAAAAGCAGGTAAAGAAGGAAGAGACCTGAATGATACTAAGGTGAAAGCAGAATCCAAAGAAGTTTTTAGTTGAAGGTTGACCCTCCTTTTGCTTTCCAGAAGAAAATAATTCATAGTATCATATTAATAAGTAAACTTTTTCTGATTCCAGTTTAGAAACTGTTGGAAGAACCAGGCAAACAATGTAGCTATTTTTTTTTTTTGTTACTATTATTATTATTTTTTCGAGATGGAGTCTTGTTCTGTCGAGCAGGCTGGAGTGCAGTGGCATGATCTCAGCTCACTGCAACCTCCGCCTCCCGGGTTTAAGCAATTCTCCTGCCTCAGTCTCCCGAGTAGCTGGGATTACAGGCATGCACCACCATGCCCAGCTCATTTTTGTATTTTCAATAGAGACAGGGTCTCACCATGTTGGTCAGGCTGGTCTCGAACTCCAGACCTCGTGATCCGCCCGCCTTGGCCTCCCAAAGTGCTGAGATTGTAGGCGTGTGCCACCGCCCCCGCCTGTCCAACTATCTTAACATTCTGAGTTTGATCTGCAGTGGCTACTGAAATTTTACCTCTGTGGAAACTGAAAGATGATCCCAGCTTTGAGTGTGTGTGTTTTTCCCCCTCCCTCCTCTTTTGGTTGTTATTGGTTTTCTGGGTGTGGATAAGAAGGGTGTGCTATAGATTGATGCATTGACTCATTAGGCTAAAATGAATGTAGACAAGCTTCCTTTTCCTCAGTGCTTTCCAGTGGTTCTTAGTTTAAAATTCAAAACCAAAAGAAAAACCTACAGGGACACAAATGTACTTGATTTTGTTATGGCTTGCTGTTGCTTCATCTTTCCTTCCATATCTTGCTCTCATGCTTTCTAATGCCTAAGCAGAATACATCATCAGAGCGCCGAGGAGAATGGGAAATTCAGCCCAGCCGGCAGACCAATACCTCATACCTGACGTCTCACTTGGCTGCAGACCGCCATGGGGGATCAGTGCAGGTATTTACTGCCTTTATTGCCTTTTCCTGGCCTTTCCATCTTGGCTGGTAGAATGTTGGCTTGCTTCAGAAACTTTGGCGGCTTTAGAAAGGAAGCTTATAGGAAGGGCTAGTTGAGTATCTCTGCAGATTTTTTGTCTAGGTGGACTTGGGTAAGAGTCGCTTGTTAAGATGATTACTTCCTGTTGTCATTGACTGAGAAACACCTGAATGATTTCTGATACTGATTTCTGGTTAACCTAGTCCTACCACCTTGATGCATTCATGATAAACCATAAAAATAACATCAAGGTGGAATTGTGTTAGTGTTAAGTCTGTGAATTGTAAAGACCTGAAACTTACAAATATTTTTTGAATACAGGACTAAAGGACTGCATATGTTGCTCATTCCATGATATGTGCCTTAATGCATAAGCTGAGAATGTTAATTTGTATAAGTCATCTTTTTCTGAGTGGGTACCCAAGAAGTTGGGCTGTTTCCATTTTTCTCCCTGGAATCAATGTGATCTTAAGAAAATTATTTCTAATTTAATTTGGGCTATTCTGAAACTCTTGTTTTCTGTTTAGTACTAGAACATCTTGTATCTCTTAACTTGTCTTATATGTGAATTTTTTAATAATCTTAGCCTCAATATTGTTCTCATACTGGTGACACCATCAGTTGGGACACACAGTGACCTCAGAGCTGTCAAACATAAATTCTTATAAAGGTGTAGACAGGTTTGTGCATATAGAAATGCATCTTGGTAGCCTTGATCATCTAGGATATGCTGTTAAAAGGAGTGATTAATGGAAAGATCTTAATCACAGCTTGAAAGACAGTTTTGGCCCTGTAAAAAACCACATAGGATCATATAGGTTAAAAATATGGATTGAGGCTGGGCATGGTAGCTCCTGTAATCCCAGCACTTTGGGAGGCTGAGGCAGGCAGATCTCTTGAGGTCAGGAGTTCAAGACCAGCCTGGCCAACATGGTGAAACCCCATCTCTACTATAAATACAAAAAAAAAATTAGCCAGGCCTGGTGGCGCATGGCTGTAATCCTGGCTACTCAGGAGGCTGAGGTGGGAGGATTGCCTGAATCTGGGAGGCAGAAGTTGCAGTGAGCCGAGATCGTGCCACTGCACACTCCAGCCTGGGTGACAGAATGAGACTCCATGTCAAAAAAAAAAAAAAAAAAAAAAAGATGGATTGGACAAGACTGAGCAACAAAGGGAGAGCTCGTCTCTATAGAAAGTTAAAAAATTAGCCAGGATGAACCCTGTCTCTATAAACAATACCAAGAAATTAGCATGAGGCATGGTGGCGCTACATATAGTTTCAGCTACTCAGGAG